GAGGCAAATCCACTTTTGGTTTTCATCCTGATTCCTGATCTGATTTTGATAAAATCCAAGTTGAAATCGGAATACTGATGAATTTGATCACCAGAAGCCTACGACTAGCGGACACTGAGGTCTGGGACGAGGATTTTGACAAAATGATACGGATTTGCCTTGGTAACGGGTACCACAGAGAATGTATAGAAAAAAATGTAGAGGTTATAAAGGGCCGATTTTAACTTGGATTTTATGAAAATCAGATCAGGAATTAGAATGATAGCCAAAAGTGGATTTGCCTGCCCTCATCACAACTGAGCCAAAAATTGCGACCGTTACTAAGGAAATGGAATATCAAGGTGATAACAAAAAAAAGAAAACACTTTTCACCAGTCTGCCGACGCAATACGAGAAGACTGACAAATTTGATTTTTCGGGAGTTTATCGCATCAAATTCGGTAACTGTGAGCAGAAGTATATCCGTGAAATAGGAAGAAAAATCGGCGTAGGAATCAAGGAACGTCAAAGACTCTGCAGGAACATGGACACGAAAAGATCCAAAAAAGCGGAATACATTGCTCGAACGGGTTACGAAATCGACTGGAAATCAACTGAAAATTTGGCTGCCTGTGGTGAAAATACGAGAAAACGCAAGATCCGAGAGGCGATCAAAATACTGACCGAGAGAAATCTAATGAACAGGAGACTTGAAGAAGACAGGATCAGAGAAAACTGTGCATATTGCCTAAAACACTCGGAGATTACCAGGCAACAGCAAGATCAACTAAAAGAAGACGACTGGATCAAGTTAATGTCCTTAATATTAGAAAAAGAGATTGCAGGGGGATGAGAAACAAACAATCAGAAGAAAAGGGAAGACGTCTTCAGTGAGCCTAATCATAACCAGCAGTACCACAACAATTGTGGGCTGGCACACAAGCAACTATGGCATGGCAAGTCATTGACATGGTATTATGGATAGAGACAGGATAGACGAGGGGTCAACATTCCCAGCACAAGGGTGAAGGGGGTGATAACGACAGTGTGGAGTGTGAAGGGTTTACATGAATGCCACTCGAAGGGGCACACGACACTACATTGGGAATAAGCACTGTACAAAGTGTAACAGTGAAGGTGTGATATGAGGATATAGGAAATGTGAATAGGCGAGGGCAGAAGGGGAGATACCACAACTGTTTAGCACACGTTTGGGCTTCACTTGTCCCTTTGACGAGTTGTAGCATGGTGCTATGAATGGTAAAACTCACTCACGATGCCGGCGAAACGTCTGGGAATGTACCACGTCCACGGTCCTACCATGGAAACGATGATGCGGACAATGGACACCGGACTAGTTCGTTCCTCCAAGTCTTCCTACCAACATGACCAAGTTGCGAAAACAAGGTCAAACAACTTATATGAATGTAGTTTCGTTTTTAAGTAGATCTTTGATACCCTTATGTATATGATTAAATGGTACTCTCGAAATCCCACTTATAAACGAAAATTAAGTAATATTTTAGATTGCTACGGAAAATAAAAATTTGCTTCATAGTCATTCTTGCCACAAAATGTGATATGGAAGATCGTCTGGCCCTCCTTAAAAGTTACATAGGCCCTGTCACCCGAGCACAATCGTGGCAGCATGGGGTAGTGGTAAACGCGTCGAGATTATATGCTGTCCCATCATGGTTCGAGTCCCGCTTGGTGTGCCGATAAGAGCTAAGGTAAGGGTGAAGCTGCTTTCCACTCCCTCCTGGATAAGAATATTTTTTAAGAAGCAATGCTATGTGAAATTTAAGGGAGTCTGTAAGTCCAATCATATCATTGTATTTAAATTCAAGTACCGGTCCACTTATCACATTAAACGAAATAAAGGTGAATACATCTCATATATAGTCTAAATGTAGTTATGGAAATTGAAAAGTGTATATTTAAGGATAAATTAGACAAATATAATAAACTTTTAACATTAAAAGCTTCTAAGGACAACTTTGCCACGTAGTTCGAAGTAGTAGTTGTGGTAGCAGTAGTGGTGATGGTATTAGTAGTCATAATCGATGTTATTGTTGTTGCTGTTGTTGTAATGAAAAATTCCAGCTTTGGGCCGTGGACTTGCTACATTCCCAGACGTTTTGCCAGCATCGATAGTGAGTCTTGCCAGTGTTGATAACAAGCTAAAACTGGTAAAAGAGACAAGAAAACTCAAGTCTTTGACCAACCTTCTGCTCATCGGTTGTGTTATCACTCTTCCTCGTGTCCTGGTATATATCTGTCTACTCCCTATCCTCATATCTTACTCTCTCCCAATCATAACTTGTATTCCGTTTATATTTGACTCCTTTGGATGTGTATTCGTTTTGCCGAATTTAGTGAAGCATTATTACACCTTATTAATTTGGCTGAATTGCTGATTCGACTTGGACCTCTAATCCGAATCTTCCTCAAAGCCCATGGAATTCGTTTCTTATCATGTTGTTGACCGATTTCACTCTGTCCCAGTCACTGTATACTTTTTACTCCAGGCTCTATTTCTGATGGAGTGCCATAAGCCATCTGTATCACGTATACTGTGACGTCACTGAGCCGTGCTTTGACTGATTTCCAAGCTTACAGATATCCGGAATTGTCGTCACGGCTTATCTCTATGCTTCAATCTGTGAGCCCTAAACAAACAGTAAAAGTCTTCCTTTGGTCTCTTGCTTCTCGACCGAATTTATAATCAATTTGGCGCCAATCTACTAGCTTCAGTGCCGAATTTCTGTGACAGTTGTGACTATCCTTTTCCCTAATCATATGACCGTCAGGCCTTCGAAGTTTTAGATTTTTTTCAAGAATACTACATTTACTGGAAACGTCTCCTCCTGGCTCTTGGATATCCTTTACCCGCTTCAGCTTTATTATCCTTTTTTCCCTTTATCCCTTTATCCAGGTTTATTCTTTTTGCTGGTCTTACCGCATCCTTGTTTGCTCAACAATTGCTTGAAAAATGTGAAAAGTTATCGTCAATTCTGCCTTATTCCACTCTTATGTTTATTAAATCTCTTTCAACAATGATATTGATGGCTTATTCTTGCGTATGAGGCCCTTCTTTCTCTTGTCTCGTCCAGTCTGTGAAATGTGTTTCGGTACTTCTGATAATTTGGTATCCATTTACCTACAGATCCTTTGATATTTCTTATTTGGTATGCCGATTTTTCCATCTGTTTCACCTATTTATATTTCTGTTTGCAGACGCCGTATGGTATGCAGTATGCTCCCGAGCCATCCATTTTATCTGCCATCTCAATTTGCGTCGGTTAACTTGT